AAAACCCCCAACCACACACCCTCCGACAAAAAAGGGACTTTTTGGATGTTAAAGGCGGTGGGGGGGGGGGGGCTCAACAGTTAAGAGCATTGGCTGCTTTTGTACAAGTCCCGGGTTCAGTTTCCAGCACTTACCTGGTTGCTAACAACGGTCTGTTAACTGCAATTCCTATCTTCAAGCTTTCATCCCACACTCCCAAAGTCCAAATGTCTTAGTACCCCACTGGCCTGTGGGTTTGGACTCCTGTATAACCTTCTGCCACAAGTTGTCCTCTGACCCCTTCACGCCTCCAGTTCACAGGTTCTTTCAAAACCAGCTTCCCAAAACCCTCTCTAATTTGGGTCACCTTGTTTGTCCTTCTAGTCTCAGTTTACATAGCCAAAAGCCTAGCTTGAACCACACTCTCTCCCTCCAAAGCACCTCATACATGTTTTTTCCTTATTTTAATTTTTTGAGACAGGATTTCCCACTAACCCCAACTTGCTACTATGTAGACCATGGTTTTGTCTCAGAGATCACCCCGCACCCAGGGCGGGATGCAGGGGGAAGTAAAGGTGTGGACACCAAACTAGGCCTGTGTCACTTTTTATTCATGATACACTATATAAAGAGCCTTACAGTAAAGTGCATCTCTTTATTTTGGATGCCATAAAAAAGTCTTACTCATGTATCATGCATTTCTCACCAGGTGTGAGCTGTATTTCCCCATAAGCACATTCTACGACTGAAAGGTCTTTTTTTCTCTTTCGCAGGACTTGGGGGATCAGACCTAGTCAGGGCCAAACACACTAGCCAAGTGCTAGATTTCTGAGGTACATCTTCCAGCCCCGGGGTAGTCCTTTAAGAAACCTTTCTCGGTGATTTAAACGTATAAATTTTGTGGTAGGCTGGATGAGTAAGCTCAGTAGTATGGCATGCAGAGTCCTGGCTTCCATACCCAGTACCGCAAAAATAAAATAAACTTTCCAATTAGACTTTGAAATAGCCAAGAGTTCCTCTAGAACACAAAGGGCATCAAAAATACAACCTCAGCACCACTAGTTAGCTCTTGCATCTTATTTTATCTGGGCCTCAAGTTTTCATTGGCTCAAACGGCTACCACTACACTTTAAGACAGTAAAACTGAGGTGCTGGAGGTGGCTCAGAAGTTAAGAGCACTGACTGTTCTTCCAGGGAACCCCAGCACCCACATGGCGGCTAACAACCATCTGTAACTCCAATTCCAGGGAATCTTCTGACGTCTGTGGACACCGCAGGAAACAGGCGTGCCTGTGTGTAGTCAGAGATTCATACACATACATTTTTTTGTTGTTAAGGCCCAGCTGTCCTGGAACTCACTATGTAGACCAGGCTGGCCTTGAACTCACAAGGGATCCGCTTGCCTCTGCCTCCCAAGTGCTGGGACTCACAGGCGCGCGCCACCAAGCCAGGAAATAAATTGGGGTTTTTTGTGTTTGTTTTTGGTTTTTTTTTTGTCTTTTTGAGACAGGGTCTCTCTGTAGCCCCAGCTGTCCTCGAACTCACAAAGATCCACCTGCCTCAGCCTTCCAAGTGCTGGGATTAAAGGCGTGCGAGCCACCACACCCGGCAATAAATTGCTTTTTAAAAAAGTTAAAAGTGATCTTTTCAAAATGTCGCCGTTGACCAGCTAAGGGCTAGCCAAGCCCAGAATGCTCGAGGACATATACAGGTAAGCTTCCCCAACCGCGCCCCACATTTTTTGCTTAAGCCACCATCCAACCCTTTGAAAGGGTAAGAACTCCGGAAAATCTTCCGTACTCTACCATCATATGGAATTGTGCCTTTAAACCTACATCGTCGCAAACTGTAGCACCTTTCTCACTGGACACAAACTTGCACGTGCACTTGCACTACCATCTTGCCTCTTCGGTGCACTCAAGCCCCACGTCTCCAGGAGCAGTCCCCGGGAAGCCGACACTTTCGGCGTGCCCCAGCACGCCCCCTCGAGTCTCTCTCGGCCCAATCCGACCCTCGGCCGGGGCGGGACACACCCCTAGCCCGCACCTCACGGAGCTCGCGACCCCCGCCAGCCGAGGGTTGACCCGCCAATCTGGGGGGGGGGGGGGGGGGCC